GCCTTGTCATTAAGGGCTTTGTATGTTAGGAGAAGGATTTTAAATTCTATTCTGAATTTTACAGGGAGCCAGTGGGGAGAAGCTAATATGGGAGAGATATGATCTCTCTTGCTAGTTCCTGTCAGTACTCTGGCTGCAGCATTTTGGATTAACTGGAGGCTTTTTAGGGAATTATTGGGACATCCTGATAGTAAAGAGTTACAGCCTGGAAGTAACAAATGCATGGACCAGTTTTTCAGCATCACTTTGAGACAGGATGCTCCTGATTTTTGCAATATTGCGCAGGTGAAAGAAGGCAGATCTAGAGACTTGGTTTATGTGTGATTTAAAGGACATATTCTGATATAACCGTTGTATATTTACACAGTCAATACTGTATATGGTGCAGCTAATGACCCCTATTGAGTCTAAAGCAGACAAGCAAGGGCTGTGTGAAAGAAGTGTTCTTGTTGCCCTGGGGGCATGGCTGGGTTGTGCAGGCTGTCCCAAGGAAATCCTTTGTCCCCTTTGTACCACCCAATGAAAGCACTACTTTTACAGTAACAACCAAACAAACTCAACCATTCTGAAGACACAAACAAAGCCAGCGGGTCAGAAGAAATTATTTAATTTGATTTGATTTATTCTTTCAAGCATGTAAAAACAGTTGATATGACAACACACATAATTTTACACATAATCCAATATCAATTTGCTTATACCTAGTACATGCTTGAATGGAGTAGGAAGAAGTCAGACTTATCCAGTCCTACCCCATGACATCATCTTACCATCATTGGTTTGCAAGCAGTAAATGATTCACTTCTACTCACACACGTATTATACTAAAAAAAGATTATAACAGTGTTAACATTCCTACATCACACAAGTAATATACTAAAGAAATGCACTGGAAGTTCGTAGGTGTTAAAGGAAGTCTTTTTTGGGGGGGGGGCACATACAGTGCAGGTTTTATTACAGACAAGGAACAGCTTGTCCTCAATTTTACTTTATTGTCTACCTTAGATTAAAATCAAGGACCGTGCCGTCGCCCGGCATGGCGCAGCCGGGGCCCCACCCGGGGAAGGAAGCTGGACAGACTCGGCAGACTCAAATGTATTGTGAGGGTCTGTTGGGAACATTTAGCAGAATCCCCTGTCAGAGAGATCTTCAACTCCCGCCTCCCTTTGATCAGATCCCAGGGGAGGCTGGAGATATTGAGTGCGAGTGGACCATATTCTCCACCTCCATTGTCGATGCGGCCGTTCGGAGCTGTGGCCACAAGGTCTCCAGTGCCGTTCATGC